TAAAAACATTTAATTTTTCATTAATAATTTTTTTTTAACTGTTTTTTATCTATAAAATTAAAAAATAGCCATTTGATTATAATTTATAAAGCTAGGTTTGGTATTAATTAAATGTAAACTTAGTTGTAACTCATATAGCAAAAGACTAGTCAATCAAGTGACACCTCACCAAAATGAACAAATAAGCAAATTGCCATTTATATATTATAATTGTTTAAATATATAATAGAGGAAGTTCGTTTACCTAGAGTTTCTTTGTACATAGGGCAACCCCACTTAATTTGAAAACTATAAAATTCAAAGTAATGCTTATTCGCCAGGTATGTTTGATTCTCAGAGAGTGTTGCTACGGCAAGTTGTAATTGGAAAACACTATTTGATGGTGTAAAGTAAGTTTTTGCCGCCGGTATCTTAGATTGTTATACAATCTTAGAGGAAATACTTTCCTATAACTTTTTGTATATTTTATTTTTTGTTACATAAGTACTAAATGCAATGTTCAAGCTTATTGTACCTAATATCACTATTTTTTAAACCCTTCTACATGACAGACTTTTACAGTTTAAGTCAATATACTTATCCTAATACAAAGTATTTAGTATGGAAATGTGATCATATCAGTTTCACCATTTTATGACAAGTCTAGGATCTTGAATTTGGGCATTGAAAAAATTCGGCTCTAGGTACACGAATTCCCCTACTATTAGTTTAGTGTTTCAGCACTTTTATATTTAAGAATTCTTCCGTGCGGAATTAATCTCTAAAGTAATGATCGTTTCGCAATCGTTAACGATTGCGAAACTATTATTACCTTGGAGATTATTTTTACACGGAGGAGTCCTCAAATGAATTTAAGTTAGAACTATACAAAACGATAATAATTGTCTAATCTTTAATCAATTTTGAATTACTACCCGACGGGCATACGAACATTTAATCAACGTTTAAGTAATGTTCGTTCTAAATGTTTAGATTTAATTTAGTTTTGATTTAGAACGTAGGTCAATCGAATGTTCCATTTAAACCGAATCTAAATGGTTCGTTTTAAATGCTATTTAAACTCCATCTAAATCTTTCGTTTTAAACGTCGTCTAAATTTTATAAATTTACGTTTCTTTAATTTATATGCTTCTTTATATAAGCGCCGTAAAGAAAAGTCAAACGTTGAACGCGTAACTAAATACTCATAAACGAATCAAATATACAGATATTTTTTTTCATACATGCAAGTCTTAAACATATTTACACTAATTTTAATTATTATAATATGAATTATCGTATTTATCATTATCATGATCGCTTCCATGACAATAAGCATCATCTTTGCTTGAATCGTTCAAGCCAGCCTCTCCATCTTGAGAATTGGAAAAATGGGCGCCACCTTTCCCAGTGCCACCTAAACGAAACGGAGCCATTCTAAGATGAGAACCAATGCACGAATGTATTTCGGACAAAGAAGACGTAGAATATCGTTTCAATACACACTCTAAAAATAATTTAAAAAAATCAATAAACATCTTCATTCAATTCATATAAATCATTTATTCGACAATTTTATAAATTCGTAGTGTGTACTGAGTAGATTTGAATTATAACCTGAGTTTGAATTTAATTTCAATTACAAAAAATATAAAAATAATATTTTACCAACAACAAGTTGACACAGAGCAGAGTCTCTAAACGGAAGCTTTTTAAGAGAACCTTTACCATCCATACTCAAATGAGACATAACAAAATTTGTAAAAAGTCTTTTCAATAGATTCTTAGAAGTATCTTTAATGGATGACCCTCCGATTCGTTGAAGAAGGCGAAGCTACAAAGAAATTATTTATAAATGCTACTTTTCATTACACATGGGATTCTAATTAATACAAAAACAAAAGTCTTGCCACCTCAATGAAAGCAAAACATATTTTCTGACATCAAAATAAACATTATATAGACGTTAAAAACCTTTCTGGGAAAGAGGATAAAAACAATTAGCTATACACTTACTAAAATTGTTCGATTAGCAAGAACTCCACATTGCTCCTCTAATTTTCTGTATCCATTCAAGGTCCCAATAGCTCCAGCTATAACTTCTAGATGGACCTCAGCAACAGTCTCTAAACTTGGTACGGCCATCATTTCCACTGCTATTCGTAAATCTTTAATTTCGTTAGCCATATTTGATAACTGATAAAGAACTTTTCTCTGAAACTCTGTAAAATATATAACATTTATATAAAAACCTTATTAAAAAAACTACACAAATTTCGTTATAACTGTTCACAGTGATAGGTTGATAATAGATAGCACAATTGCAAAGCAACTGCCTTATCTACAGTAAAAAAAAACAGCCGAATTAAAAAATATATTATTAAATAATATATAAATAAGGTTTGATAACTTACTCCCATTATCGATTTCATTTTCTTGAGGAGCAGTTGGCTCACTCAGTATCATGTTTGCTTGAAACTTTCTATTTAATGCTGATAGTTTCACTACAATATAAATAATTATACAATTACATTGGGCGTTGTAAATCAAAACTTATTTAGAAACGTCATTATATTTTTGCAGTATATATGTAAATCAGACCCCATATACTATACAACATTATACTATAAATAAACAATAACTAATATCATTATTACAGTTAATTCTAGATATCTCTAATATTTACCAAATCCCTTGGATATTACACTTAAGTTAAAAATTAAGTATTACTTGATCGATCTATTACATTGTCTTTTGATGTGGCAGCTCTCTGTCTGAATATTGGTATTTTAGAATCAAATTTTCGGGGTAACAGAAAAAGAGAAAGTGCTGATTGGTTAGCTATAATGTAAATAACTATATAGTTACATTATTTATGCAAAGTTGTTTTCAATGAAAATTTACTAAATTTTCCTAAATTTGATTTAAAAAAGTTTATCCTTAAAAGGATAAAGGATTAAATATGTTCATAAGTCGTAAAAGTTAGTAGGTCTAAATCTGAAGATTATTTAAAAGTGAAGGTGGTCTATATCAAAGATATAAATTTAGACATCTTACTTGATTGATCCATTTTATTTTCTTTTGGTATATTCACCATGCTTGATTTGAATGAAGGTATCTTAGAATAACAGCTTGAAAGACCAGGTGACTGTGGAATTGGTGATAGTTTAGCTACAATGTAAATCTCAGGGTATACTTTTGAGATATAACCATTACAATTATTATTAGTATTCAAAGATATAAAGTACAACAACTTACTTGCATGATCACTTTTATATCCTTGTGGTACCACATCCACAACCTTTTTATATAGTGAAATATTTGATGGTAACATTTTGCCTAATTTAGCAGGTGGCTGTGGAAATGTAGATAGTTTTACTATTTTAAAAATAAAATACAATTACAGCAAGTGTAAAAAATTATTTTTAATAACTGTTTTATTACAAAATACATACACATAACACTATTATTACTATTATTATGTAGGCTATTATTAGCTCCTGCTCTACTCTTCATAAAATTACTAATTAATGAACTTGTTTCTTCACGCAGCAGCCTTGTTCGTCAAGGTTTGTCTTTCAGAGTTATGAAGTTGAGAGAGGGTTGAAACTGCAAGTAGCCTCTTCGATTGTAGTGGTCATCTCAGCCTTTAGGGAGGTGAATTAACATAAAAAATATATATTCTTACTTTCTGTATTAATATCAACATCAACTTCTTCCTCGCCTGAAAAAAACAAAGTGTTTTACTAGAGCTGTATTAAAGTAGTGGTATTATATCCGAATAAATAACTTCAATTTTGATTAAAATAATGCAAAATTATAGATTGATAATAAGTTTTAAATATTATATTTTATATATTGTTTGTCAGTTTTTGTATATTTCACATATGTTATTATTTTCAGTTTATATATTCTATTTACTATTTATATGAGTATTAACAAATTAAAGTAAAACCTTCAAAAAAAGTTGTACAAGCAGTACGCTTGCGCTTTTTTGAAACTTGCTGATTATCTTCTTCAGTTTCTGTAGTTAAATCATAATTATTACAATCCTCGTAGCAATCTGTAAAAGAAATAAGAAAACATTTAATTTATCCAAAGAAGTTATTGACAAATAAATTCTTTTAACAAGTAATGACTAAATTCTTTAACATTTTGCGAATGTAAATTATGAAGCTGTTGTCAAAAAATAAACACAAAACCTGAAGTAATTTTTATTTTTATTAGTTTAAAAAGTCGCCAATTTTCATTAGGTTCTACTCCTTCTTTCATTAATTTAAACGCATTCATTTTGGATGGGGGCCACATAACTACTTTTCCCCGCACCCATGCGGATGGCAAGACTCCTTCTTCCTCACGATTTTCTTCCAACCAAACAGCCCGGTGATATGACATTTTACTAAAATGTTAATACTCTTTTTATTGTAGGTACATCAACACATAACATAAACTTGTAACTAAACTTGTTTAAAAGTGTTTAATATAAGTTTAGTCATTTACAAATACATAAATATTATTTTACTAATACATATAAATAGTAGTTTAATTATTGTTATTATCACTTGTTTCAGCTAAACAAGACACCAATAGAAGTTATTATCAGAGGAGATGGTTATGAAAATTTCTATATTAATTACTCTTTAAAATTTTAAGATTAATATCTAAAATTATTTAGATTTACATTAAAAGTAAACAAAATCGAAACAAAAATTAAAAAAAAATTAAAAAGTTAAAACATAGGAAAATAAAATCACAACTTAATATACCTAAAATAAATTTACAATAAATTACACCAAATGAAAATATTAATAAAAAAAGAAGCTATAATAACTCTTTGATTAACTACGAAGGCTAAAAAATATATAGCTTTTTTCACTCATAGTGCTAACCTAGTATACTATGAAATATCTTCCTTAAATTAAAAATCACATTAGGCATATTAGCATATTTAAACATATTAAACATATAGACATAAAAACATATTTAAAACTATATTAGAGGGAGATAAATATAAAAAGAAATGTTTTTGAATATGTATTTATCAACTTTAATTTAACTCAAGACTAAAATTATTTCAATTGTTCGATGGATAATTTTCTGTTGCCTTTGATTAAGTTAACCATAATAGTATTATTAGTAAAATAATTTAGCACTCTTTTGAATGAAGAAGAGGCATTAACACAAAGCCACCATTACAGGGAAACTTCATAGCCTTTTTCTCGATTTCTGCAAATTTCACATTCTTCGATTTAGAATGCTTATAAGTATTGTTCACAAAATAAATGTCTAAAAGGTCAGATGAGCATGGCTCAATAAAAAATGGATGCAAATTAGCAAAACTGAACACATAACACATATATGAATCTTTTAAAACCTCATATACCTCCACAAATTGTCCATTTTTTAGTTGTGCAAATGAATCTCTATATGTTGTTGACAATTTAAAGACCGGTGTTGTTGCATTTGTAATTTCAGAGTATTTATGGGCATTTTCATATTCTTGAATTCTTTTTGCTACTTGTACAGCAGGATTTGAAGAGCCTCTTACATATCTTTTTAATGTTTGCAGATAATTTTCAAAAGGAAAAGCACTGATCTCATCAAGTGGTAAACCAAAAAACTCTACATCATCTCCTATATGCAGCAAATGATGAATATTGTATACAACAAAATCATTACCATATAATTTTTGAGAATTCTCAACAAAATGTCTAAGCAAATCTTTTGCATAGTTCAACATGTTATTTCTTTTGTCATTTGATGGTGTGAGTAGAATTGATGCACCAACAGAAAGTGTTAAAAAATGTTTGTAAAGCTCAGAATTCAAAATTCTCTTTAAGACAATAGGCCCTGTGTATAATAAGAATTGCCGGAATTCAGTGGCTTTCCATCTATCAAGGTCCAACAAAGATCTAGGGCGTCTAACAAACTCACTTGGTATGCATTTTCGTAAATCCAAAAGGTTTTCAGAAACTTGCAATATGTTGTTGTTGCTTAATTTCACTTTTCTATTACCTTTTTTCAATGTTTGAAGTATACGACGTACAACACCTAAGCATATCAAATGCATATAGTCAAGTGGAAAAATGCTGATACATTGGTCTGTTATTTCATTGAAAGGCGAAGCTCCGTGTTGATGACTTCTAAGGAATTCAAGATTTTTAAAACTGTCATCTGTACGCCTTCCAGCATTGAAGCAATCAGAAGAAACAAACGTTGTTCGCCTGTTAGTTGATGTACCAACAGCAAGACAGCGTTCACATGCATGCAGGCTATTGTGACCAACAATATTTTTCAGAAAAGATCTTGCTGGAGCATCACAAATAACTGAGTGCAAAATAACTGTATAATTTTTACCATCATGAGTGACACCATTACATTTTAAAAATTTATATTCATCAATAAAATCCTTTAAGAATTCTTTAACACAGTTTGGCTTACTATCTCCTTGATATAAGGCAACAATTGTGGGTGAACTATGATTAACAGCAGAAAGAATCGGCCAAAATTGTCTTTTCGATGATCTAAACAATGATATACCGTCAACATTTATTTGCAGATTGAGTATATTGCTGCAAGTGCCTTGATTTATTGAATTCTGTAAACATTTGGTAAGGCCAAAATAAATGTATTTTCCACCACATTTTTCCTGAACCTGTATAGCTTGAGGTGTTTGTAAAAGAGTACGGCTATCTTTAGGCAGCTCGCACCCATGTTTTCTCAACAAGGCTAGCAAACCATTACATGATAAACGTGTGAGTTTTGCATTAACAACCCATTGAGCTAGATCGTATTGAAAAGATCTATTGCCAACAACTTCTATATCACAATAATGTTCATCGTCTGAGCTGCTATTAGGTGGTACTATGTCGATGTCAATATCATCTATATCACAATTTTCTTCATCGGAACTACTGTAAGGTGGTACTATGTCAATGTCAAGTCTATAGGTATCACTATTAAATAAATTATCAGTTATATTATTTGCAATAGAAGATAAAGCGAATAAATTTTCTGCATTAGTTGAAGAATTTGATAACACAGGAGGTTCACATTTAAAGCAATTATTTGCATCTTTAACAACTTTTCTATATTTTCGCATATACTCTGCTTTTGCACTCATACGAATGATCTAAAAAATCAATTAAATAAAATATTAGGTAACAGCGCTCGAAATAACAGCCGATCAACGATCAATGATCGGCTATTTTTAGAGAAATTTAGAAAAATTCAAGGGAAAATAAGCTGTTTTTGTCAAAAAATTACATTTGATCGGCAAGTTTTAAAAAACTATTTCGAGCGCTGAGGTAATGTTATTTTTTATTTACAAACTTATTTTTTTTTATATAATTTATATGAATATTATTATAGATAAGATAATAAGAGTTTAAGATATTATAACTAATTAATAAACTTAATAACAACGTATAATTAGATTATTTGTAACAATAATAATAATAATTATTATTAATATTTTATTAATCACCCTCTGTAAAATAAATTTACAAGGTAAAAACACAAACTAAGAAATAGAGATAAAAAAAAGTATTATTTAGGAATGTTTTCTTCAAGTGTCTTTTCAAAAATTGTTCGCTGTTCTTTTACATTCCAACATTAAACCGCGTGTACCAAAATATGAAGAGTAGCTTCAGGAATTACTTCCTCTAAGACTTTAAGTTTTACTTTTTTTTTAACCAGCATTAAGGTGTTCATATTCAGTTTATGATTATCACATAATTCTTTTATATTGTCTAAAAAAGAAAATTTAGCTGAACAGTAGTTAAGTTGGGAGTTACTGATTTCAAAGGTTACTTTATTGTTTAAAGGGCGGATAAATAGATTTTTTTTTTTTTAATGTATATAACTTGACATCTCCTTAATTTTAAATAGAGAGTGTATATAGTTAATTTTAAGTAGAGAGTGTATATAGTATAGAGAGTGTATATAGTACTTTAAATAGAGAGTGTATATACTTGGAGACATTAAAAATTGATTTAACTGCGTTCCTTCCAAATGAGTAGAGTCTTTTCATTGTTGCATCTTTATTTTCACAGATTTATTATTATTATTATAGAGATTATTATTATGAAGATTAAGATTAAATAATTACGCTAATAAAGTAAATAAAACAAATTAGAAACAAAAACAGTAGTTTAAAAAATGTAAAAGGTAAAAACTATACTTTTTTTTTAATGAGTTATAAAATTATTTTTTTATACACAAGTTAAAGATAAGGAAATCAAACATATTGACAACAGAGTTTGTCAAGGTTTGTGTTTCTGTATTAAAGAGTTTCACCGCTGCCCAAATTTTTTCTCAGAATAGGCCCTGTATATATATATATATATATATATATATATATATATATATATATATATATATATATATATATATATATATATATATAAACATCAGTGGTAAGATTCAAATAATTTCACAACGGGTTCTGTGTGTCCAAGAAAAAGAAGTAGTAAAATTTTTTAAATACGAAAACTAGTATTGTTACGTAGATAAAGCGTTACATAAAGAATTATTAAAATGAAAATATTTGTATGTATGTATGTATGTATGTATGCATATATATATATATATATATATATATATATATATATATATATATATATATATATATATATATATATATATATATATATATCTGTTTGTGTAGTTATATCAGGATGTATATGCATGTATGTGTGTATGTGTGTAAATCACAGTGTAATTTACACTTTATTACATTTCTTTTACTTAAAAATTGAAAGACTTATAATGATTTGTTTTAACTTTTAACAAGTCACTTCTATTTTAAAAGTCTTTTTCTTTTTAAAAAAAAAGGACGAATGTAAAATAAAATAAATACAATAAAAAAATATTAATATAGATTGAATCAAAATCAAAAAATATTACAAAATCCTAATTCTAAAAAAAATGCATTTATAGCCCTTATTCTCTCAAGTAGTTGAGATTCACACTTAATATTTATTTGCACTACATTGACAATGTCTCAAGTACTTGAGAGAATAAGGGCTATAAATGCATTTTTTTTTTAATTAGGATTTTGTAATCTTTTTTGATTTTGATTTAATCTATATTTATATTTTTATATTCATGTAGCCTACAAGTCAAGTACCTATTATGTGAATAACATTCTATAAGAATTATAATAAGAAACTTATTAATTTATCTGTATTTTACCTCTTTTGCAATCTTTTAACTACTTCTTGGTTTGATACAAACTATTTCAAATCTTGTAAAACCACTTTTTTCTGTAATACAAACTGCTTCAATTCAATTAAATAATACCAATCTTAATAACTTTCATAACTAAACCTTTTTTCAAATTTTTGTGATATTTATGCGAATTATTATAGACTAATAGTCTATTTTAATAACAGTCTAAGTATAGTTTTTTATGCCATTATAAAATCAGACTAAATAACGATTTTAAATATGGTAACAAGCATGTTTTAATATACAAACAAGCATGTCTAAAGGTCATTATCAAAAAGTTAATCCTCCTAAAACATCTGTTAACTCAATTTTTGTTTACTCAAATTTTTTTTAAGTTTTCTAAACTACTATCTACATAATTTAATATTCATATGAAATTCAAATTTTTAAACAATAATGAAAGATCCAAAATGTCCGTTTCATTCTGTGCAAAATCCCTTCTGGGCTAATCGAAGTAACGGATTTAGCGCTTAAACGCTAACTAAATATTCAGAACTCATTTAGAATTGATTCCTAATCGTTTAGAACGACGTAAATGTCATCTAAACGCAAATTAAATATTCAGAACACGTTTAGAATAGATTCCTAAACGTTTAGATTGACGTAAATGCCATCTAAACGTGATCTAAACCAATTTTAAACCAACAAATGCCCGTTGGGTAACATTTGGAATTGTTGCGCTGCAATCTTTACAATCATGAAAGTAATGAAAAAAATTAAATAATTTTAAAATTATTCAACAAATCTCTAAAGTCCCTTGCAGATTAAAAGAAAAATTAAATCCATTTTGGGTCCCCAAAAATTATTAGCCCAATGCTGCGGCCTAGTAGCCTAAATCTAGCCCTGGCAGTAACATATATAAACAGCTAAAACTTTTGGAAAATTTGATTTTTCATGTAAGTTAAAATTTTATCACTTCTTTAAATTTTCATTGAACAATTTCTTTTTTTCATAAAACAAACATTTTTCCTGTTTATATTTTTTTTCCATAATATAATTATGGAAAATTTACTCCACGGCCACAACTACTCTCTCCTACTATCAGCAACCAAGGTGATTATATTGACTCAATCAACTTCAACTTTAATCTGATTAGTTTAAAGCAGTTTGAAGCTGAATCTGATTAGTTTAAAGCAGTTTGAAGCTTCAACTTTAATCTGATTAGTTTAAAGCAGTTTGAAGCTGAAATATCGGCGGCAATTCCAACTTTTTAAACAACAGTGTGGTTTTGATATATATATTTCATTACAATACATGCGTTTTTTTTTGTACTTTAATACTGACTATTATTAATAATATTGACTAATATTATTAACAATGGTCTATTTAATATTATTAGTAATACTAATAATAATATTATTAATAATACTAATATTGACTTTTGCCCAATATTCTTCAGATAAAAAAAATATTTTCTTACAATACTCTGATAGCGTTAATAAATTGGGGAGAACCTTAATAAATGGGACAGTTTTCGAAAACTGTTCTTTTTAAGTTGATAAAATTGTTTAATTTATATATTGAAAACAGTTTGATAACCATTAACTCTTGCACTATGATGTACTAAAACAAAAAAATCAGCTTTGCATATGCTTATTGGCAAAAAAGAGACATTTATTGGACCAGGAATTTTGTCCTATTCATTGAGAACTACTCATTGAATGGGGCAAAAAAATTATTGGATGGGACAAATATAAAAGGTTGAAAAGTGAAAAGAGGTTAGTAGTAAATTTCAAGTATGTTTAATAGTAAAAGTTGTTTCTACCAGTAGGGATGTCAAAAAGCGTATGCATATGGTATATGCATATGGTATTTCACTAACAAGACGTAATATCTTTTCTTTGTGTGGAAAAACGACAGGGAATCTTCCAGTTTGTGGTTATTGCGTGTAATCTCGTATTATGTTAAAAAAACAGCAAACGTCCTGAAAAAAATGAGAAGAAATAAAAAAAATGCAACTATCTGAAGAAAATGCTGAATGATATTGTTAAAAAAACATGGAATAGCAATCCTGCTAATAGAATTTGAAGTGTTTATAGTAACAAGGCAAAAATTTGGTTAGATACTAGTTCAATATCACTAGGCGTGGTTGTCGAGGTTGGTGGCAATGTAATCGGGTTAAAAAAGAAGACGCAAAACATAAAAGCATGTCCAAAATTGATGCAGTAGTTAAAGGACCTAGTATGGATTTTAACTGTAAAATGGAAATTTTGCATATCTCACTTATTTGAAAAGGACATTCAATTAGGTACCGACGCACTTACTGGAAAATCTAGATTGAGGAAAAAAAGCTTCAAACGAAATGCTATTAAGAAGTAGACTTCAGAACATTGCAAATGTAGTGGAAGAATTGTAACTCAAAGTAGATATTAAGCTTGTCGCATCAGAGTTTAACTTGGCAGATACTCTTACTAGAGTGCCTAATAGTTGGTTAAAAATGGTTGATAAGCCCTCTGAAATAGCAGCAATTGGCATTATTAGAACTTCGCTATCTTCCAAAGAAATTGAGCACATTCAAAGATCTACAAGAAATTATGGTGTGAAGAAAACATCGTACTTCGTTCGTAAAATCAACCAGAAGTAAATCAAGTGGTTGGGAAATGCATAACCTGTCAATCAATGGATCCAAGTCCAATAAAATGGCCAAAAAGTGGAATGTAAGTAAAAAGAACGTAGCAACAACTTGGCATGGATATAAATCATTATGAGGAGCAGCACTACCTTACTCTAATCGACTGTGGACCACCACAGTATGCAATTTGGCGATATTTTGAAGATCAAACCAGTGTATGTGCTATTCAAGAATTAAATGCGATATTTCTCAAACAAGGAGGTCTGAATAAGAAACTGGCAATGATACTGCATTTGGGACAATTACTAAATTTTGATACAAATTTTGATACAGATACTAAATTTTGAAGCACATTGTTTTGGTAGTTTGCAAATAAATGGAACGTTAAACTTCGACTTAAGTGCGCTTATGTACCTGGAAATGGAATTGCAGTACTATGTCATCGAGCTGTCAAAAGAATGGCAAAGAGAGGTCAGTGCAGCATACTGGAGACAGTTTATTGGTATAATGTTAGCCAAAAAAATAGTTGCAAGTCTTCTACTGCACCTGCGAATAAGTTATATCAATACAAAATTATATATGTTATATCAATACAAAATTATATATGTTATATCAATACAAAATTATATATGTTATATCAATACAAAATTAGGGTAAGAAGAATTGAGAATTATAAGAACGCACATGAATTGAGAACGCACATGATCGCACATGAACGCACATGAACGCACATAAACGCACATGAACGCACATGAAAGCACAAGAATTGAGAACGCACATGATCCTTATAAAAAGATAACTACTAAAATTAAACTTGGCGATAAAGTACACTTTATCGCCAATCAAACAATTTTATCAACTTAAAAAGAGCATTTTAACACATATATGTGCTAAAATGCTCTTTTTAAGTTGATAAAATTGTTTGATTTATATATTAACTCTTTTACTATGATGTACTTAAAACATATTAGTTACAAATTAATGTCATTAAAGGAATTGTAAAAGATATCAACAGTCAACTTTACATAATACTCATAATAACGCTTCTTGCTGTTGCTATTACAATTACCAAATATCCAACATTGACAAATGAAACACTGAATCCAAGCAGGCCAAACAAATTTTGTTGTTACTGTTGTTGGTTAATGGGCGCATTTTTACAGATGAGACAATTAAAAAATCTACAGAGCTTTCTATTTCTTCCACTTTAAAAAAATCTACAGAGTTTTCTGTTTCTTTTACTCAAAAGTCAATTATTCTTTTTTTTTAGTTTTTTTTGTCTTATTTTTAACAGTTTCAATAATTTTTCTCTCATTTACTGTCTTTTTTAGAGTTTAGTTAACTTAGTACTTTTACTCTATTGTCTTCTTTTTCTATAATCTTTTTTGGGAGGTGCTTTAGGGTAAAGATGAATGGTTTCCGGACATTTTTATTTTCGCTGAGAATTCTGAAGAATTAGTTCGATTGTTTTTTTCTCATAAGTATTGATTATCTGTTTGTTGAATTTCTGATTGCTTGACTAAAAGAGATCTGTCACTTACACTAGATGATATAAAATCTATTTCCCTGAATATTTGTCTATTGTGTAGATAGATCCCACATTATTGAAACCCTCTGCAAACATTTTTTATTGTGAATGACGTATTATATGCTGTACACGCTAGTTAAGGCAAATTATATATATTCATCATCCTTCCTGGATTGGAAGCCAACCATTCATTCTGAGCCAATCTAAAAAAAGATTTAAAAAGTTCAAACTCTGAATTATATTTTGGCTACAATCTATGACTGCAGTGAGGCGGAAATGTTAACAGAATCAGAGAACTTTTTTTTGCACATCTTATTATTTCTAATGAAATAAGACTTTCATGGTTGTCCATTAACAGTACTGGATGATCCGCAGGTGGCTTAGTATGGGATACAAAGTGCTTTATTGCAAATAAAAAAGTTGTCACTTGCCATTTAACTACTTTTGTTACACAACCTAACCTTTCTGTCAATGTTCCACTTATCATAAAATCCTTGTAGTTTACTCTCGGAAATATAAATGCAGGTAAAATTGTACCCATAGCATTCATGAAAAGTAACATCGCCACCAACGACCCTCTTACAGCTAAAACAGCATGACCAACTCGCTTAGCTCCACGAGTTAAAAAAAAATCTTTTTGATGGGTCTGTAACTGTTATTTATTTTGTCTCATTTGCGTTAAAAAAACATTCACGTTTGAATTTATATTATAAATTCTAACAAATTATCAAAAAACAAGAACTAAGTAAGTTTATTAAAGGCAGTTAGACCAGCAAGGTTGACTTTTTATGGTTTTTGTAGTGATAATTTTTGATAACGCATCAAAAAACTGTAAATCCATTGCTTTCCTGCCATTTTATTTAGGTGCCATGAATCACGTATATTTTTCGAATTCAATGCAACACTATACTTGAAGAAATATGCAAATAATCTACAAGTTTCATCAAGCCCTTTCATCAAAAACGTGAAAAATTTCTCTATTTCTTATGTTTGCAATATATTTAAAGTTTTCTAACAGATTTTAGAGATCTTTCCATTTTTACAGCTCTACCAACACTAAGCTTTGATAATTTATATTTTTTAGCTGCATTTCGAATTGACATACCCTTAAAAAATTTTTGACCGCATCATCTAGAAAATTTTTTCGAATTCATTTTATGTTTGGTTTTATGTAAAAAAAATTTAAAAAATTTAATAAAAATCAAATATATGCGAACGTCATAGGAAATATATGCGAACGTCATAGGAAATATATGCGAATGTCATAGGAAATTTGTATTGTGTGATCAATTTATATACACATTTGTGTAAGTATTTAATTTGTATAAATATAATTGCAAACACAAAACTGAATACCAAAATAAACCAATTCGTTAAATATATAAATGTATATAAGTATAATAAATTTTTTAAACTTTAACGATAAC